GCAGTGCCCAGAGTGAGAAACCACTTGACAAGTTACAGAGTCAGATATATTAAACATACAGAAACAGAAAACAATTACTAGGAGAAAATGTCTTCCAAGTTCATTTGGGGAAATTATTTTTCCACAGTCCTCTCCTCATTTTAGAGACTACCCACTGCTATTTACAAAAAGGACTCTCCCCCATGCTCCTTCTGTTATATACTACAGACTTCCTTTTTGTCCTTTGGGTCAGAATGGGACCCTCATTTTCTTTGGTATTTTTCTCAGAATCCTTTAAAGAAAACATTTCTTGATCAACTACAGACAACTCTGATATCTAGTCCCTCATCACTAAAACATGCAGTGGTTTCCTGATGATTTTCATGTTTTGCTATGATGTTTTCTAAACCATGCCATTTCCCACCATTCCTTTCCTCTTTTCCAAAGTTTCATCTCACGGGTACTCCCATTTCATTTCTAGCCCCATTTCTACCACACACCGCCTATGCCATGAGGAGTCACATGCTTTGTAACTGACCTAAATCTCTACCCAGCACAGAGCAGGAGAAACCATCTGGCTCCTCATTCTGGAAAGAGACCACTGTCATTTTAAAGACAGCTTTACCTTTCGGGAAAAGGAAAAAGCCATCTGAGAAGACTCCACACTCATTCCCATAGGACAAAGAGGAAGAGTCATGGCAGGTGTCTGGGCACACAACTGGTCTACCGACGTGGAAGGATAAACTCCTCTGGGAAACAAGGACACCTCAGTAAGCATCAGCTATTATACCAAACGCTTCTATGAGTCTGAAGTACAGGTACAAAGACAGAGGACTGCTTCTATCAAACTCCCAAGGTGACTTTCAGGAGTGTCCTCTATGGGAAAGAGAAGGTAAATGACAATCTGAGGCAACAAGTGTTGGCACAGAATCAACTCAGAGAAAAGAATGGGCTGCAACTTGTGCACAGAGCAGGCCACTGTAGAGAGGTGGGGGAAGCTACAATGAAGATGAACAGCTGGGACTTCTCCAAGAAAGGCACCTAAGTGGACTACTACAGAAACCTCCACACCGTTAAGCATCTCAATTAGAGACTGCAGAGGTGGCTGGCCAACGAATGCAGAGAGCATAATACTTCAGTGGTTCAGTGAGGAGAAAAAGGACCTGGACTCAAAAGATAAAGATAAAAGAAAAAGGAGCATGGACTCAATATCAGATACCAGGCAGACACATGTAAGAGGAAAGGAACTTTGGAACAGTATGGGATGGCGAGTCTGAAGGGAGAGAAGAGGTATGTGTGCATGTACTCATGCCTTTGTGTGAATGTGTGTCCACACAGTACAGTCGCTCAGACAGGGTATTTGCTCTGGGGCAAGAACATGAAGAAAGGTAAGGTCACATTAAACCTGCACAGGTATCACAACAAACCCCACATGTACAACATAATACTGACACGAATGGTGAGTGTCCACAGCTACGTACAGAGCTTCTGACAATATCAGACCCGACTGTAGTCAAGTGCACAAAAGAAACTTGAGTTTGATTTAAATTAAGAGGATATATTGGAGTCAGTCAAAATTAAGGTTTAGAACTGTGAATTTCAAACTAGGGGACCCATTCCACAGGTGGTACACTAGCTAATTCTAAGGTGGGATGTGGATGAACATTTTTTTTTTCTTAATGGCTACATTTTATTTTAATGAACAATAGAAAATCATACAGTGAAACCATTAAATTAATATTTTTAGAGATTTTACATATTGAGATTAGGCCACATAAAGAAATGCATTGCTTTAAAAATCATTTTAAAGTACCTGGAACAAACAGTAATCATGAGTTATGTGATTGTGGCCCTAATAGCGAACAGAGATTTATGTCAGTGATTGAAGTTTAGGAAGCACTGAGCTTGGTGTGTAAAGAAGCCTTAAAGTGAAGAACATCATTCTATAGGAACATGCATTTTTTTTCCTACAAATTACTTGCATAATCTTCACCTGTACTTTAACTCCAAAGAGTGCTTTCTTTAAAAAAAATATTTATTTTTTTTAGTTGTAGTTGGATACAATATCTTTATTTAACTTGTTTATTTTTATGTGGTGCTGAGGATTGAACCCAGGGCCTCACACATGCTAGGTGAGTGCTCTACCACTGAGCCACAACCTCAACCCTTCCAAAGAGTGCTTTTAATAAAGTTCTCTGCCTTTGTCAACAGACTAGACAAAGGGAAGGTGAAGGGTGTGGAAACTTTTCAGTGCCCATCTCCTGTTGGTCTGACAGTGATGAGGGCATTGCCACCCAGGAGGTGTGAGCCCTGCAGCTCAGGCCTCGTCTTCCCCGTGCATGGACTCTCCCTCCTATGCTACAATGTTTGCCACATCAGCCTGGATATCACTCCAGTTTCCCAGAGAAAAAGGTGTGTTCAAAACAAACTATAAAACACACTCACATATTTATACTTATATATACTTTCTCATATGTATATACATTCACAGACTTTTCAATTAAAATGTTTTTTTTTTTTTCTCTAAGAAAGACGGGAAGCAATGTTACCACCAACATCTGAGAACGTGGAGACTGCAGCCCGTTTCTGGGGTTTGCTTCCTCTTGTTGAGAGGAAAGCTCTGTCATTTTCCTGTCTCCCATCAGCACTCGCAGACACAGCAGCTTGTTCTGGGGCTTAGGCAGGTCTGCTTTCACACATCCTCAACTTTTATCCTCTGCCTTATATGATAAAATTAATCTTGGACAAAGATCTAATTGATTTTCTCCTCATCTCTGTCCTTCCCGACATGCTCCAGAGTGTGCTTTAAGACCCATTCCAAGGCTGCTTCTGTGCCAGTGTGACCACAAACCCAGCACTATCTTAAGCTTAGGGGAATTGACCAACACTGCCTGGCTTACCCCAATCTTTGCTGTATGTTGCTTTGTAGGAAACCTTAGGTGACCATGGCTTTCCTGGAAACTTGAGAGGCACCGTACCCTGTAGCCTAATGCCTGGATTTTTCAGTACATGGAGGTGAGATCAGTCCTGTTCCACAGTCTTCTTGTTATACACAGAGGGGCCAAGGCTATGTGCATACCATGGAAAGAATGAACCCAAACAGATGCTTAAGAGGAATGTGGGCTACTATTAGGAGGGAAGCTAGTGCCAGGATAGGGTCAAAGTCATCAGAGTGTACATATCCACTGACCTAGAAATGTTTTTAGGAATTTATCTTAAGGAAATGATCATGAATATAAGCAGATTTACATAGAAGAATGATAATAGTAGCTTTACTTATTAAAACAAAATATTCACAAGAACCCAAATGGTGCTAAACATCAGGATGCAGCCTTCTTGTGGGATACTGTGACATCCTGAAATGCAGTGAGGGTAGGAGGCAGGGAAGATTTGCATTCTGGACTTAAGATAAGGAAGGCTGTTACTTTTGAAATACAGGGATTAAACAAAAAATCACCCCCCCCCAAAAAAAACCCAACCTTTTTTATGACAAAGAAAATGACAGATCTCAATCCAGATATGGAACCTTTCCTCTTCAAGGCAAAGCAGTCACTGTCCTCTTTGTGCTTTTGCTGGACCTCACACAGATCAGCAGCAATAATTATAACAATAATACCACCAGGCCAGCTTTTACTGAGCACAGACTCTGCACCTGACACTGTTTGAACCACTTTCATCTGCACAATGGCCCTGTGATGCCCAGCAAAGCTGGAGGCCTCTACTCCTGTAGTATCCCACGCGGCTCTCCTACTGCAACAGCTGAGATGAGACTGTCTGTGTTAGGGCCCGGTACCTGATTACCACCAAGAATGTAGAAACCTTGAGAAACCATTATTCCTCTTTTCCAGAAGTGAAGATAGGTCACACAGAGCTGGGGGGGCAGCAGAGGTAGAACTCCCATGGGGGCCACCGGGGGTCACAGCAGGTCAAGCTTACCTCCAGGGCATTCTACTGCCTCCCCTGATGCACATTTCTCTATGCTGACTTACCACTGTGTGCTCACTGGGCTATTTCCCTTACTCTGTTTTGAGCTGCTTAAAGACAAGGCCCCATTTTTTACATTCCCGCCTGTGGCAGGCATCACATAAACCGACAGCTGCATGTACGAACCAGCCTTGGTAACTGCGTGCGATTAAACAATAACTAATAATGGTAGCAGCCATTCTCAGTTAATGATCCTTGCCCTGTTCCAGGCTTTGGGCCAGATGTTGAAATGCCTAATTCCACTTAATCCTACTTCTCTAAGGGGGCATTTTCATCCCTGTTATACAGGTGAGCAAACTGAGCCTGAGAGAGGTAAAAGGCTTGCCCTCGTGGAGATGCTGGCACAAGAACCAGTGCCTCCCTGCAGAGCTGGAGGCCTGCTCTCCCTCCCTGCACAAGTCTCTTATTACAGAAGCTGAAGGAAGATAGGGCAGTGTAAGGTCTAATACCTGATCCCTACAAAGAACTCAAAAATCCTGGAAGGAAAAAACAATTTGATACATTTGCTGTCTGGAACAAGGAGGACTTATTCTCTAATTAATTCATTAATAAGTTCCATGTATTTTAAAATGCCAACTCTACACCAGGCACAGAGTAGAGAAAGGGCAAGGAGAACCAGGTCCCGCCCTCACAAAGGCACATTCTAGTATTCCACATGACTCCCTCTAATGGACATTCAATTACAAACTGAGAAAAGAAAAGGAAATCAATTCTATGGGAGCTACTAAAACTAAGGGGCCAAAGAGGCCACAGCTGACCTCCTGCTGTTTGGCATGGAAAAGAAACTCAGGTGTTAGTCCACAGACCTGCAAAGAGAATCCTCAACAGCACCCCCTGCCTTTCATTCTTGGCAGTGCTGCTTCCTGTCCTACCAGGGTTACTCAGCAAATGGGACTTGATGGGCATTATGAAGCCCAGTCTTCAAGCACCCAAAAGGCCAGCAGCATACAGAGAGACCAGAGGTGTCCATCCCGAGCAGTGGAGGCAGCATGGGATGTCCCTGAACACCACACTGTTCTAGAGCAGCAGGGACTCACGTTTCTCTGTTGATTGCATGGCATGGAAGAGTGTCAGGGGCCTCTCGCTGCAGGATGGGGGCTTGGAGTCACCACTCTTCTTCCGAGACAGGTGCAGCTGGGCATTGGTGAGTGGCACATCAGGTAGGGTGTTAAATATCTGCAAAGGAAGTTTCACAAAAAGGTTACACAATTCTGCAGATTAGGAAGAAAGCACAGGTCTGAATTGGTACAATTGAAAGTTTGGTGGTGACTTAGACTCAGCAAGAAAAGATCAGAAAAGATCACAGGCACATGCTCAGGAGTCCACCATGAACAGTTCTAAGAACATCAAACCCCCTCCTTCTAGAGCTGGTCCCAGAGTTTGATAACCGTTCACTTCCACTTCTAACTCCTGCCATACTTTTTATGAATCCTCTTTTTGTTCTCTTCTCTGGGAGAAATAGGAAACAGCTGAGATAAATATAAGCAACTGTCTGTTAACAGTACTTAAAGCTTTTTTAATCTTTGTCCAGAACCAATTAATCAAAATCCCTTTACCTTTTTCCATTGGTTTTATTTCCCAGTTCTTGATAATGTTTTACAACTTTCTTAGACTGTGAAAACTATATTTAAATAACATTCCAAGAACAACCCAGAGCAGGCTGCCCTCTCCCCTCCTCCTCAACTGCCCTCAATGGGAGCATCCTCTCAGCTTAGCAGCCCTGTTATCTGTGAGGCTGAGCGTCTTTTCCTTGCTTAAAAAATGTGTGTGTGTGTGTGTGGTTGCTTTTTTTACCCTGGAGGAAAGTGTGTGTGTATATATACATACTAAAGACAATTTGGAAAATGAAGAAAAGATTCAAGAAAAAAAAAAAACTGAGCTTCTCCCAATTGTACTACTTGCAGGTAATCACAATCAGCATTTGGGTTTTATTTCTCTATGAGCTTTTTTCTTTGGAGCTATTATCATTATCATCATCATCATCATCGATAGCTAAAAAAGTGAGAATAAAATGATAGACAATGAACTTAATTTCTTAAAAAAAACAAAAATGAAAAAAGAAAATGAAGACAAAAATTATCACAACTCTTACCTTTTTTTCTTCAGACAAAAGTATTCTAGAATTTACTAAATATAATAGCCATCACTTACATGGTGCTACCATGACTACAGCAGCTGTCACTCACGGCAGGCTCCCTAGCTACCAGTCACTGCACTCTATGCATACACAGCTGGCTTAGTTCTCAGCAACATTCCATATGACAGCTAACATCCTCAACATTTCATAAGGAATTGAGGCACAGAGGGATTAAGTTGCTACAACTATACATATAATTACAGATGATAACACAGGGCTTTTTTCCCCAGATTCCTTTTTAAATTCATATAATAATACTCATTCATCTAATCAGCAAAATTCTTTTGAGTATCTACTTTATACTAGGCACTCTGGGCATAACAGTGAATTAGACAAATATGTTCCCTGTGGTTAGAGACTTCGGTTTCTATAACTATGATTTAGTAAGTATTTGCCACACCAGGCACTAGGTAAAGTGCTTTGCATGAATTCGCATTTAATACTACACACACTTTTCCATAGTGGAGATTATATTCTTTACACAGCTTTGTATCCCACACATTTCATCTAACATTATATTGCAGCATTTCCTTTCATTAAAAAAGAATCTTCAGATTTGATTCTTGATGGTTACATAACCTCCTAATTGAGCTGTCCAAATTTATCGATCTATTCAATACCATCTCTTATCTGAAATAAGTCTCCTTCTGGATTTTTTTTTTTCCTTTATAACAGTCATGAGTCACAAGAGGTGAATGCCCCGTGCTTCACCTATGGTGGCCTCAGACACCCCAGAATCTTTCTTTTGTGTGTGCATTTAAAAGAAAGATTCAAAAGCTGATATATAGAAAGCAAAGTCATAAGAATTATCACAATTTCAGCCCAAACAGCTGCTCTCCCTGAGTTGGCAGGTCCTTGGGCTCCAATGATACCAGCCAGCTGGTTAAGTCAGTCTTGCTCCCAAACACAGCTGTCTGAAGGCAGCATTATCCTATCTTCCCTAGGGGACTGAAAATTTGCAGCAAGACAAACTGAATCACTATACAGAGCTGAGATAAACTGGGGCAAGGGGTAAGAAGAGAAGACTTAAAGCAAAAGCAGCAAGATACTCTTGCTTCCAGAGCAGTCGGAACCCCTAATAACAACTTGCCAACACTTCACATCTCCCATCTCTTTTTGAGTTTCTGCAATGGAAGACAAGGAAAAGATTATGGTTGTTGAGCTCTAGGACTACAGTCTCTAAGAAGCTTTCTCCCCTCTTGACCTTGTTCACCAAACAATGGTGAGCCATGGCTGCTCTTAGGTGACATCCTAACTGTGCACCATTATCATCAGCATTTTAAAATGGCTCCTACACACGCCTGTGAGCACCTGCCAATCACTGTTCTAGGTGTTGCACACAACTCATCCCCAAGCTGAGGGTCAGCTCAATATAATAAGAAGAATGACTGTTTCAGTGAGGGATCTCCTGACCTTCCACCCAGTTAAGCAAGACAGGCACCAGGGCTGTAGTGGTCATCCATTCTGCAGGTTCTCTCCAGCTAATCTTCATACAGAAGCTGGTGCCCCCAAACCCACCAGAAAGGATTCAACAAATCATGGCATTTCTTGGTACCGTTCTGCCTCTAGCCTCAGGTACAGCACCTTCAGCAATCTCTAGCTAAGAGCATTTGAAAACTAATTCATGTAGGGCACAGTAGCACATGCCTGTAATCCCAGCAGCCTGGGAGGCTAAGGCAGGAGGATCAAAAGTTCAAAGCCAGTCTCAGCAATTCACTGAGGCTCAAAGTGAAATCCTGTCTCAAAATTTAAAAAATTTTAAAAAAAGATTCAATGCCTGGCATCCCCCCCCCCCAAAAAAAAAAAAACCCACCTGAAAACTGATTCAGACTTAGTGATCTGCCTGGTTCTCATACCCACCCTCACCTTCTTTACCTCTGGCCTCCAGACTTTGTCTCTTTTCCTAATGAGTAACTGTGAATGAGATCTTCACCTAACTACAATGGAAACAAAGATAATGAATATTTTTAAAAATTTCATCTATCAATGAAGATGGGAGCATTTATACTCTTTCCTAAGAGTCATAGTAAATGTTGGAGAAACAAAGAAGAGTTAAGTTGTAAGAAATCACCATGGATTTTTAGACAGATGCATGAAAAATTGCTTTCAAAACAATATTCTTACAGAGCACAGCAGGAAGAACATGGGGACACATGAGGGAGAATTTCACTCTGCTCAATGGCCGCTTTCTTTAAAAGAAAAGTTATTTGAGCATAACAGAATCAGCTCTAGGAGGGAATTTTCACTGTGGGTGAGAGCTACAGTCCCAAAGGCTAGCTCTCTAGGTTTCATTGTGAGCCATGCACAGACTTCTGAGAGTCCATGAGGCTCTTCTAAAGATCAGTTGCAATGATGTGCAAGTGGGCACACTGCAAAACATAAAGTGCCAGGCTGGGGCCTGTTATCCTCATCATATTACACACTGTCCAAGGTGCAAGGGCATCTTTGTAAATTAGATCAAGTTAGAACAAGTGACACAAATGTTCAATTAAAGAGTCTGGGAAATCGTTCCCCACATTGCTGCTTCTTGTTTAACTCTAAAACATGAACACAAGCAAGATGATCTTCTGGCCACCAGCTAGCCAGGCCCAGGGTTTGCTCCTGTTTAAAAGTCCAAGTTGGAATTCTGAGGAGAATCTGAATTATTCATGTTTTGTTGGTTATTCCAATCCCATTTCATTTAGAAGAGTTGATTTCAAGATAAGCAAATGAAGTTTTCTTCAGGCTGTCGAGAAGCATCTGTACAAGTGACCTGCTACAGTGAAAGAATGAGCTCATGTGATCTATGTGCGATGGATTTATGGAGTTTTACCATTTGGCTAGAACAATCTATTCATTTCACACAGACTTTCCAAATTAACACAAAATGGGGAGATTTATTCTGTGTCCCAAGTGTCTTGCTAATACTGACCAATTTACAAACTAATTCTGATTTAGTCAGGAATGCCTTGGAGATGAAAGTAAGGAAGACTCTAAGCCTTCTGGAAGCTACTGGAGAATAAAACTATAAAATAAAAATATAACTCTAGGTAACCCTTCCATGTATCCCCAATTTCAAGCTTCCTATAAGTGGAATTAACATACCCCCAAACACCAAGCTACTGTTTTCCCTTCAACCACCTGGGCTGTGGTTAGGATTGTTTTGGTCCCTGTGGTCACACAGCTGAGTCCTGGGTCTGCTAATTATTCCGTAGGCAACAACAGAGCTACGCTGTCCCTACTTACCATCACTGACATCGTTGACATCGCCACAGCACCATTTAAAAGACAGGGAGAGAATTTAGAGAATTTATATAGGTGGAAGACAAACGTACTTTGGAGCTAGGTGGACTGGTTCAAATCCTGGCTTTGCCACTTATTAGCTGTTTGATCTCAGTGAAGGTCTTTAATCTGTCTGAGTCTATTTTGCTTGTGTAAATGGGGATCCAACATCTGCCTTGCAGAGCTCTTAAGAAGAAAATGCACTTAAATACTAAAACGTCTGATAAAGAGGAGGCTGGAAGTAGTGTTAGTGTAAACGACAGTAAAAATAACCAAAATTTGTTGAGTATAGCAGCTTACTATGCTAAATTGTTTACATGGATTATTTACTTGGATTATCTGATTTAATAACTCTAGAAGGGAGATATTATTTGTGCATTCTATAGATGAGGAAAAAGATCCATGGAGATTAAACTCATTTGGCCAAGGTCACAGATAAGGAGTACAACTGGACAGGAAACTAGATAGCTCTAGTATCTTAGTCACTTTTGGTCTTTATACCTATTTTTAATTGGAGAGAGAACAAAATGGAAACAGCATAAGTTTGGGAATCTGACATATCTGATTGTAGTCATTTACCAGTCCTGTGACCTTGAGTAAATTATATAACTCTCTGACCTTCAGCCGCCCCATCTGTAAAATGCCTCAGGACTAAAGTGAGGACTGAACACCTAACAATTTGGCCTTCACTGTTCAAAAGGCATTATTTTATTCAATTAAAAAAAGGAGATATATAAAGAATAAGAAGGGAAATAATGAGATTCAAAATGAATTATTTGTAGTCGGGACACAAGGATTTAATTTATAAGCGTAAATTTAATTACTGCTCTTTGCAAAACATTGATCTTAACTGCCTACAGCAATGTCAGAATCTGCTGTTCTTTTCCCCTTGTGTGGTCTACAAAATTTGTTTCTCTGGTCCCCTCTGGCCTATCCTGATGTTACAGAGCATTGACACTTGTGGAATTTGTTCCGCTGTGTCACATACACATTTTTACACCTTTTCCAATCCCATCTGTCAAGCGCTCCTGCAATTTAAAAGGATTAGGAGTCTCCCTGTAATGTGTGCGCTGTACTCTTTGTCATGTGCTGTGATTTTTATGGGAGGAAAATTAGGTCATGATGAAGAGCTCCTGGTCTATAACTGCAAAGTAGCTTGGAGACAATAAATCATCAGCGGAGGCCAGCAGATTACAATGCAAAACGGAAAAGGTGCATGTAGGAAAAGGGTCGGAGCATTTTCTTGCACATAAATACATCAGGGTCCCCTGTAATCTGGGGCTGGCTTGCTGGATCTCAAGAGCATCTGCCAGAGGAATGGAGGGCTAGGGTTACTGAGCGTGGCTCGCGGCTCATGGTTCATGCCTCCTGACAGCACAGCATAGGCAGGAGAAGCCATAAACCCACATCTTTACATGGGAGAACCAGGCAAGCCTTGGCAGGGCTGGGCTGCAAGTGCGAAGGAACCAAATTCAGAGGCTGTAACTGCAGAGAGGTTTTCTAAGGACAGCTGGAAGTCCTACGTCCTGTTGATATCAGCATTTTGGCAGAGGGATCAACAATTTGGAAAGCAGTTTGGGGAATTTTATTAAAAATCTCACAAAAGGAACCAAATACACTTGGTAACTGAGGGTATATATAGATGGCTGTGATTTTCCATATCTCTAGAAGATTCTATTTCCTGTTATCTTTGCTGAGAGAGAGGAAAAAACTAAAACACAACAACTAACTTCATCTCTATTCAAACAGTATTCAAGTAGCCTCCCAGCCCGGCATGGTGGCTCATTCTTGTAATCCCAGTGACTAGGGAGGCTGAGGCAGGAGGATGGTGAGTTCAAAGCCAGCCTCAGCAACTTAGCAAGGCCCTAAGCAACTTAGTGAGACCCTGACTCAAAGTCAAAATTAAAAGGGCCAGGGATGTGACTCAGTGGTTAAGCACCCCTGGGTTCAATCCCTGGTACAAAAAACAAACAAACCAAAAAACCAAAACAAATAAAGTAGCTTCCCAATTCAATCACTCCTTTATCTGGGGCCTATTAAAAGGGAATGTATGAGTTCAGATCCACAGACATTAACATCACTTGCCGCTAAAAGAAGAAAATGTTCTATGACACAGCATTCCTGCCCAGCACACAAGTAAATCAAGCTTGCTTCTGAATCTAATAAGGACAGGATGAAAAAGAGTGCCAGGAATTATTTCAGTGCATCCAGGCACACCTTACTATTATTGTTTTATTAATTTTTCATATCAACAAGTATTAAATATTAAGGAAATGAAATCCAACTGCCAAATACCTAATGGTTGCCAAATCAATTACATATTGATGTACATTGTGTGTACAAAGTCCAACACTGGTCAATGGATGTCAATGCCACCAATATTTTCTTAAATGTAGTTCAAGGCAGATTCATGAGCCCTTTTATGGGCCCTGCATTTTGTTAAATGCAGATCAAGGCAGTTTCTTGATATGGTTATTCTTCCTAGACACCCCAAAATTTCAGTCAATGGCAAGTAAACCTTCAAAAAACAATTAAAAGGAAAACCTTACAAGAAATCACAAAATTTTTAGTTTGGGGATATCTTGGTCAATAACAATGTTTAATATTTTGTTTTGTTTTAAAATCTTAACTAGAAGCATATAAATGTCCTCTACAACCCCAAGAATTTTCCTATTTTAACACTCACAGAAATAAGCTGTATGTTTGGGGAAAAGATTCTGCCCATACAGAAATGGCAACTTTAAATAACAGACTGTTGTCTTAAGGTAAGAATGGTAAGAGTCAAAATCTTTGCCCTGTGAGCTCTCAAGTCAAACTTGACTACAGATAAAAACAGTCATACCCTCAAGTCTATTCTTCTTTAGAATGTCATATAATCCAAGCAGGGTCCAGGCTATAGTCTCATTGATGGGAAATGATGCTGAGTTAGTATGGTCAACTCTCTGGTTTCATTATTTAACAGGTGATTTTCCAGGGATGTTTTTCTAAAGTACTGAAGTAACCATTTGGATGACTGGAAAACCTACTCTACTTGGAAACTCTGAGAGCTCCCAGTTTTCAGGAGTAAATTTAACTCTTTTTCCATAGCTTTCCAAGACTCTTGACAAAGGGGCTGAATCCAGCCTCGTGACACCATCTGTCCCTACCTGCTAACATTCAGCCCACAGTCCTCTCATGAATATGTCATTTTAACATTTATAATTTGATTAATGTTGTTCTCTTGGAAAGCTGATGCTCCTGTCTCCACTCTTCTGCTGCCTACAAAACTTCCATTTATCAGTCAGAGCCCAGTGCCAGCAGAATTAACTGATCTCTGCTCAGTGGTGCCATCATACTTTATTTATCTTACTTTAGCACACTGCATAATGGTTAGTTATATCCTGATAAAATAGGAGTGCCTATCTTATTTATCTCTGGTCAACAGTCAATACCCAATACATGGTTACTGCAGTAAATAGAGATGAACAAGAGTGGATTTCTATAGCATGGATTCTAAAGTGGTCCTAAGTTCAATACTAGTTCTTCTCCTAAAAAGCTGCTGCTTAATTTCTCCATACTTCAGACTCAATGTCTAAGACAGAGCTGAAAATATTGACCTTATTTGAAAGTAAATGAGATGGTAAAGCGGCTTAGCACAATATCTTGTATGCAATAAGTTGTAAGTGAAAGTTAGCTATTATTATCACAATTATTACTTCTAGATTACATTCATTAATAAGATCTACCAGCTTCAACTGAATAAATAAACTGGTATATATTACCAATATGGGAAAAGAAAAATGACCATGAGCCCCCAAACAATACTATATCTTTTGGCTTTTTCCTTCCTACCTCTTTCCACATTGGGATATTTATTTCCTAAAACTGTGCAAACACTGCTCCTTCAGGGTCTGTTGGGGAAGGGGCAGAAAGAGCTCCTGGGCCACCTTGACAAGGTAAGTGTGTGTCCCCATGCTTTCTCTCCCAATAAGAGGAGTGTGGGAAACACCTCAGCAGGCCTCCCATCAAGGACACAGGTGGCTCTCTGGGGAAGAGGCTCAGCAAGGCTGTTTCCATGCACACAGGTACTATCTGCAGGGGATCTGGGTGTGCCAGGGACAACATAAAGGAGCTCATCTTCATTTTAAGCCTTGGGTTGAATGCCTTGCATTAACCCTTAGTAAATAAGACAGACAGGAGTAGGAAGAAAAAATCTTATGCCTTAGCCAGTTAGAACATAGAGGTCTTTTTCCTTCTGCTGAAAAAAATATGTCAGATTAAAGAAACTGAATTTTCTAGCCAGCAAGTATTCCATCTCTCTCTCCCTCTCCTTTTTAAATGTCAGTTTTAGAGACAAAAATGTCTTACACATTTTTGAGTTAGGGAAAGGTGAAGGGAGAGCTGGAGGCTGGGAGTGTTTGTCGTTATGAACAGAGATCCAGGTGGGCTTCACTCCAAATGTCTCAAGGGAGTGAGGAAATACCATGTGGCTTCATGGAGGAAGAGTGTTCCAGATGATGGAACAGCAACCACAAAGGCCTTGAGGTAGGTGTGTGCCTGCCATGTGAAGAACAGCAAGGAGTCAAGGCAGCTCTGCTAACAGTGGGGGATAGAGGCCATGTAGCACTTACTAGCTGGTACACAAACTGACCTTCCTGAGTGAAACAGGAAACCACCGGATGGTTCTTAGCACAGAAAACTGAAAGGACTTAACATTTAAAAAATCTGGGATGGAAGTAAGGAAGCAAACTGGGAGGCTCTTTTAAGATTCAGACAAGAGATGGTGGTGGCCTTCATTAGTGTTACCACTGTAGGTAGTGAGGAGTGGTCTGACTCTAGTTTCATTCTGCATGATTAAGTCCATTCTAGGCAAAGATTGTTTTAAAAAGAGGAACTTTTTCTTGGATTCCAGAGTTGTGGCTGCCAAATAGTGGCCAAGAAAACCCTGCACAAAATCTGGGATGCTTCATATAAAATTGCTATGTGTTAACATACTTCATAATATGGGGTGGAGGAAGGAGGAATTTTTTTTTTTTTTTTTGGTACAGAGGATAAAACCCAGAGGTACTCTACCACTGAGCTACATCCCAGCCCTTTTTATTTTTTTGAGACAGGGTCTTACTAAGTTGCCAAGGCTGTCCTTGAACTTATGATTTTCCTGCCTCAATCTCCTGAGTCACTGGGAGAAAATGTTCTTAAGGAAGACCAGAAATCTTAATGCTCTAAAAGAAAAGACAGACTATACACATGTGCATGTGTGAGCATGCACACTATGAAAAAAAAATGCGCCATTTATAAAAAGAAAAGACAAACTATAGGTTTGTGTTTCATTTATAACACAAATAAAAAAGTTCAATATTTATGATATTAAAAAACTCATAAATTCCTAAGAAGACAACTAAGTAACAAATGGGCAAAGGATGTTTCCAAAATGAGACTCGTAATACTATCTCCTTCACTAGACTATTGTGAGAATAAAATGACAACACAAGTAAAGTGTTGGGCACAGTTCCTGGCATAGGATAAATGCTCAGTAAATGTTGCCCCTTGCCACCACCATGATTGTCACCTAAACTGGCACTGTCATCACCTCAACCAATTCCCTCAGGATTATCATCACATCGAACCACCACACTCAGCACCTTCACCACCATCAGGTCATAAGAATCATCAGCAATGCAAACCTGAGTCAACTGTGAAGGTCAATATCCATGCAGTTTCCTTCCAGAGTATGTTTCACTGCAAGTGACCAAATAAATGTGTATTACCTTTTCATGGTTCTCTATCAGGATCTCGATGACAATGTTCTGAAACTTGATATCCATGATGGCTGCTACTGTTTCTTCCTGAGGCCGTAGCAAGGTGGGTCCAAACACCACCCCAAGGTTTGCCACTGTCATCAAATTCTGCTTGTGATTGTTAGCAACACTGGGAAGAAAAAGAAGAAGAAGAAGAAAAGCACAAATAAGAGAAATAGTGTATGCAGAGACAGTAACTCCCCCAACCCTTCCTGCCTGCCTCTGCGTAGGCTCCTGGTTTGTAGGAGCCAGCACTTGGGACATGCTCAGATGCCATCAACCAAAAAAGAGACTTTTCTATTTGTATTTTCATCTATCAAAGTTCACAAATTTTCATTCAGCGTCCAAGCTATCTTGCTACTTCAAGATATGGCACTCCTTATAATTTCCATTTTACCTAAAACAACCAACCAACAGATCAAAAAACCATCTACCAAATGTTGAACCTCTGCAAATCTGAATCTCTGTTCTGCGTGTTCAGGTAACTGCTAATCCCTTTTAGTGACAACTTATGTTCTTGGCTGCTGCTTAAACTACTGTGATCATTAGCATTTTCTCTAATGCAAACATAAAAATTCTTGACAGCTTTAATTCACTTGAAAACACAGACACAAAATAGGCCTAGTTTTTAAAATGGGCAGATCTGGCATTTAAAATCTCATCACGAAATTCAGCATTGACTCAAAGTATTAAAGCCCTCATCAGATGAAACATGTGGCTCACATTAACAGAAACATGTGGCGTAAACAGAAATAAAAACGCACTACAGTATATTCATGTACATGGCTATGTTTATTCTGTCCCTTCTACTCAAAATTTAATTCAGACTGCTGGCTGAAAAGGACACAGGGTTAGAAGTAGCTGGATCTGAGTAAATTGCTAAAAACATATGCATATGTTTGGATAAGCAACTACTCAAAACATATATCTAAACTCTGCATCTAGGCTTCCATGACCTAGTTTTAAAACTTAATTGTTTGTTTGTTGGCCCTGGGTATAAAGACACAAGTTTCCTACCGGCAACAAATAAGTTAAAAGTTCACACCATTCAGTATGGTCAAGAAAATACCAGGAGCTCCCCTAAATCACCTGTTGGAAGAAGGAAGTTACTCATTACTAATTTGAATCCAAAGAGAAACTGGGCAGAGATGGGCAGTTTACACAGACCTACCTCCCTAGCATTTAGTGCTATTTATACTGAGCATTTTTTCACACAATTCTATAAATGCCTACCCTGTTTCTCTTGCATATTTCTATTTTGTAAAAGGAAAAGTGATTATACTACCTTCAATGCCAGTTTTAAAACTGAGCCTTTATTGAAATACATCAACCAATTTTATAAGCAGATGTGAGTTTTTCTGTAACTTTTTAAAGTGAAGAGTTTAATTTAACTTCCTCCTTTGAAAGGGGAGGGTGTGGTTAGGTCTATGGAACTTTAACTGTGGCACAGTCCAGTCAGAAAGACAGTGTGCTTTTTGAATGCTAAGCAACACCTGGAGCAGGGAGACCTGCCCCAGGCATCCAGGCCTGCTTTGGTCCACACAAGGATGTTTTCTAAGCTTTTTCTTAGTTCTAGCGGAGTCTCCTGGGTTTACTTAGAGTTTTCCATTCTACCCAGAACTTCATCATGTTGCCAGTCCGAAAAGAGTTAATCAGATGGTCAAGTTTGTACCTGGCAAGGAGGAGAGACTTTGGTCCTGTGCCTCTATCAATCAGCAAGTATGTATATTTACAAGCTGCTTGTAACATCACTGCTTTCCACATTAGCTCCTAATGTGTGGGAAGGGAATTCTCTCTCCTTATACTTCCCCTCCCAAATGAGCTAAGTCATTAGGCTTATCCCTCTTTCCACAAAAGTCCCTTGTGCAAGTGAATCAACAAGCTATTTATGTATGAAGGCACTTTCAAATTGTAAACTATTCAATAGAAAAATACAGGGTTTGGAAGATGAGTTTTTTACCCTAACTGGCCAGACTACAGCACCTCTTGGTCCAGCTTTACCTGCCAGACACCACCAGCTACTATCTGACACCCAGCTCTGACTATTCCACTGCTGGCTGAAAAGGACAGTATCTTACACCTCTCCTGATTGTTGCAGATAACACAATGGCACAGCATGTGAAGTGTTTAGCAACACTTCTGTTGTCTGATAATAATTACAATAAACCTGTGGTGGGCCTCAGTTATTTATTTGTTTGTTTCTCAGAAGTGGGTTAAGCTAGGGCCTTGCCCAGTTAGGCAAGTGCTCTGCCACTGAGCTACGCCCAAGTCTGGAACTCTCAGCACACCTTCACCCAACTCGCTAAGCCTTCCTCTGCCACTTCCCAGCTCTGGGTCCGTGTGCAAATAACTCAATGTACTAAAACCCTAAGCATTTGGTTCTTCCTCTTAGAAAAAAGGGGAGCTTGAGGTAAACAACACATCTACTTTGTGGGTTGTGCAGATTAAAGTGATAGTACTTGGGAAATGCAGTAATGAGTGTAATAATTTATTTTCCATCTCTTTCCACTTTCATATCTCTCTGTCTTTGTCCATAACATTCTCTGCCTAGAATATTCTTACTCTTCTTTGCTTAGCAGACTGTTGATCCGCAACAGTTGAACTTTGCAGATCAAAGTTCAGCTCCAATGCCCCCTTCCTTTCTGTTTTTCCCCCTGGTCCTGATACAGATAGACATGTCTGACTATGCCTGTGTTTATTACATGGTGTTGGTATCTGTGCTACTGCCCAAGGACAGGAATTGTGGTATTTCACTTGGTAGAACCAGCATTGAGCACCATGCTAGGCACAGGTGAGTCATAGTAAGCACTCACTGAGGTGTTAAAGGACGAGGGAAGGTTCTTCATAGACATAAAACTATTATTCTCAGCCCAGCTACTTACTCATAAGCCTCAAATTATTATTGATGATTTTTGGGAAATGTATTTAAACTATGCCAACCTCCCTTTTCAAAGTCTCAAACTGTGTTCCACTTTTTAGATTTAATTAATGGGCAATAATTACTCTGATTTGTAGGCCCTGACGCCCAAAGGCATTTGGAAAAAAGTACAGTAATTCTGGATCAGCAACTCTGAATATAAATAGGCTTGGGGCTAACCAACAGAATTCATTTCCCTTTTAATGATCAATTTTATTTTGGAACTTAAAAAACACATTGATTGAAGTGTTAGAAAACTTTTTTGGGGAAAATGTGCACTTTTCATTACTAACTACCATTATCTTTTGGCCCACTGAAGTAATAAATTGATCTGCCACTCGATTATTACAGATCACAACTTGGTACGGCTATGTTCATTACTCCAGAATAAATTATTAACAATTTGAGATCTCTATGTATCCTGGAGAGAAAGACCTAGACCTCAGTCTCTGCTGGCACCAGTCATGCATTATAGCTTGACGGATTTACAGATGTGTGGGAAGCAGACTGGCAGAGCGCTGGGAAGTCAGTCCAGCAGAGGCCACGGGACTCATTCATTAGTGAGGTCTATAAAACACCAAGTGCCTGCTTTCTGTGCTGGTAATTGAGCTGCCTGAGCTCTTCCTAGCATAGTTCAGAACATCATGTTGGATCTTGACTTGAAATCTGCACACAGACGTTTCTTGTGCATTATACATTGCACTGAATGAGCCTTTGACACATGCTCTCAGATTTCTGTGTCCACATGGATGGCTGTGCTATGGTGCCTTCTCCAAGCACTGTTAAGAGAAAACTGCCAATTTTGCAAGCTTTCTTGTAGGTTATAGGGAAAATGCTCCACATGGGATTTTTCTTTTTTCTTTTTGGTACTAGGGATCGAACCCAAAGGTGCTTAATCACTGAGCCATATCCACAGTCCTTTGATTTTTTTTTTTTTTTTTTTTGAGACAGGGTCTCACCAAGTTGCTTAGAGCTTCACTAAATTGCTGAAGCTGGCTTTGAACTTGTGATCCTCCTGCCTTGGCCTTCGGCCAGATAAAGATGGTGGTTGGGGAAGAGAGTACTACGAGGGGAGTACACAGTAGCCAACACTTTGGGGCCCGTAAAGAAAGATTTCCATGCTGTCATGGGATCTCGCCTGTCTTCCTCAAGTCTGAATGGGGCTCAGAACTCCATAAGCGCTAAGCAGTACTTTATAACCCCAGACTGGTTCTGAGGGTCTCCAATAATACATAAGCTTTTGAAATGTTCACAAATTGGTTTTAACTTGAGGCCTGTTGTGCCAAGATGAACAACATTAAAGCTGTGTCCCAGATCCTCTGGGCACAATGTGGTGACAGGTTAGCAACGTCTTCATGGAGCAAAAACACTTCCCTGTCAATCCTTATATGCCTGCTTCAGCTTCCACTGTTAAATAATGATAACGTAGACTCATAGGATATTTTAGACTTCACAAAAAGCTCTTTTTAAATATATTTTTGACCTTTGTAACAATTCTAAAACAGCAAATTTTGAACTTTCCAACAATGATTCAAAATAGGAAATAAATTTCTCTCATGCAATATTTCACTAGTACATGATATATATATATATATATATATATATATATACATACATACATATATACATATATATACATATATATATACATATATACATATACATATATATATATATATACACACACACACACACACACACACACATACATACACATATAAACAGACAGATACACAATGTATCAGAAACAAAAGTTTCAGAAACAGTAAGTGGAACATATTCTATATTTTTATTCCTTTTTTATCCACTAAACAACCTACTTTCATACTATGAACTACAAATTGAAAAGTGATGTTGAAGGGGTAACAGTACGCAACATGGCAAATAAGAAAAAGAAGACAGTAGCACATGGTTGGAGCCTTGTGGAGAGCTGGATGGCAAGGCAAGTTTGGTGGCTGCTCTAAACCTGTTTCCTCATATGTAAAATTCAAGTGGTAATATCTACCACACAAAGCCGGAAGGCTGATAAAGCATGATGGTGTAAGGGAATCACCTCACATGAAATACTGGCTTAATAAGTGACAGATGCTATTGTTATGGCAGCAGTTAAGGTAGAGGTGATGGCAGCAGTAAATGCCAACTAAAGCTACACTGCTAGTTAGTGGTTTCATTTGATATCCTGTCCAGAAACCTCTAGTAGCTGCTTCTGCTCG